TCTCAAACCCCTGGGCTCAGGCAGTCCTCTCACCTTGGCCTCCCAAAGTGCTGGGATTATAGGTGTGAGCCACTGCACCCGGCCTTGTGCGTATATTTTATTTATTTATTCATTTATATTTTTGAGTCAGAGTCTTACTTTGTCACCCAGGTTGGCATGCAGTGGTACCCTTAATGCTACCGCGACTTCTACCTGCTGGGCTCTGACCATCATTCTGCTACAGCCTTTCAAGTAGCTGGAACTACAGGCACATGCCACCTTGCCTGGTTACATTTTTTGATTTATTGTAGAGATGGGGTCTTGCCAGGTTGCCCAGGCTGATTTCCAACCCCTGGACTCAGGCAGTTCTCTCACCTCCACCTCCCAAAGTGCTGGGATTACAGGCATGAACCACCGCACCTGGCCTTATTTTAGATAGATAGCCCAATGTGCACCTTACCAGGTTATCTTCCATTTGAAGACTGACAAGTTATTTCTTTTTAAATATTTATTGTTAGCCGGGCTCGGTGGCTCAGCCTGTAATCCCGCGCCTTGGGAGGCTGAGGTGAGTGAATTACCTGTGCCCACAGGTTCGAGACCCACCTGGGCAACTTGGTGAGACCTCATCTCTACAATAAATCAAAAAATTAGCCGGGGGTGGTAGCGCACGCCTGTAGTTCCAGCTACTTGGAAGGCTGAGGCGGAAGGATTGCTGGAGCCCAGCAGGTTGAGGCTGGGTGACAGAGTGAGACTCCAACTCAAAAAATAAATAAATAAATCTTTATCGTTTCTCTTTTCCTGCCTTTTGGTGGGTATAGCCCTCTGGTCTATAGAAGCGACGGTGCTCTGGTCTAGGGATTGATAAGTGAGGTACCAACCTAACTCTCAATGGTTGCTATATAGAGATGGAAAAGTTACTGGGTATATAGTAATACTATACTGCATTCTCAACCTGGCTATTGAACACCCATTTGTTCAGCACCCTTTGTGCTTCAGGCATTGTGTCATCCTTGCAGAAGACTTCCTGGGAAAGCCCATTAGCGGTACTTGCAGTCTGATTTGAATGCCCAGTAGCATATAACACCAGGTATTTCTCTAGAGTGTGCACCATACTTTGTGATAATTGTCCATTTACATATGGCCCCACCTTCCCACAACTGGTTCCCTTAAGGGCAGAGCTCTGCCTTTTACCCTGGTTAGGAACACAGTGTGTGACACCATAACAGCTGCTCAGTGATGTTTACTGATAGGAGGAAGGAAGGATTATCCATGTTTCTGGAGACTTTATGTTCTAATAGGGAGAAATGAAGCACAAATAGTCCAAACAAATGAACAATTTAAAAATAATGTCATTTGGTTTGTTTCACAGAAATGTTTTGTTGTTGATTTGCCAGGAATAGTGGCAAATAATAAAAACCTCCATACAATTAATGCATTGCCTTACGCAGTTGGGCCAATAACATCTGACATACTTGTATAGCATTTGTACACATCACACAGTTCCTCACATCTGTTATTTGAATTTTAGACACAGTATTGGGCATTAGAAACCAGTGATGCCGGGCTCGGTGGCTTAGTCTGTAATCCGCGCCCTTGGGAGACTGAGGTGAGTGGATTGCCTGAGCTCGCGGGTTCGAGACCCGCCTCGGCAACTTGGCGAGACCTCATCTCTACAATAAATAAAAAGACCAGCCGGGCGTGGTAGCGCACGCCTGTAGTTCCAGCTACTCGGAAGGCTGAGGCGGAAGGATCGCCGGAGCCCAGCAGGTCGAGGCTGCGGTGGCCGGGAGCGGCCACTGCACTCCAGTCTGGGCGACAGAGTGAGACTCCGACTCAAATAAAAAGGAACCAGTGATGTGTAATAACAGTTATATATATTTCCTCAAGACTTTACTATGTGCCATGCTTGTTTTAAACACCTTTGATGCCTTAACTCAATTTCTACAATACTGAGATGAGTACTGATAACATTTCTTTTTCACAGATGGAGATAATCAAGACCTAGAGAAATTATGTTACTTGTCCATGTTCATATGATAAATAGTGGATCTAGGATTCACATTCAGCCAGTCTGAATCTAGAGTCTGGTCTTTTAGCCAAAATGCTATACTCTAATGTAGAGGTATCCTGTTCAGATGAAACTTTTAACGTGAACAAATCTGAACATGTCAATAAACTTAAACTGATTGATAAAATAATTATAGTTTGTGGAAAGTGCTTATGAAGAAAGAAAATAAGCAAGGGGAGCTGCTTCATAATGATCAAGGAAAGGGGTCTTTGATGTGTTATGTATTCTTTAAGCAGACACAGGGAGGATAAAAAGGAAACAGCCATGTGAAGAGCAACAGATGGTGTTAAAGAAACAAAGACCAGATCATGTAGGAGTCTATAGGATATGGTAATGGTTTTGTCTTTTCTTCTAAATGCAATGGGAAGCTATTGAAAGTTTTTGGCAGGGGAGTAACACTGTCTGATTATGTTTTTACAAAGATCCCACTCTGCTTTGCCAATGATGGTGTGCAGTTAAAACAGAAATCAAACGAAAAAAGACAATGAGAAAATAAACCCCAAAATTGGTTGTTGAAAAGATCAACAAAGTCAATAAATCTCTACCTAGACTGATAACTAAAAGAGATTATAAACTACCAATATCAGGAATAAAAAAGAGAACACCACTATGGATCCTACAGATATTAAAATGATAATAAGGGGATTTCTAAAGTACTCTTTGCCAAGGTATTTTTGCAATTTAGATGAAATGATCGAATGGTTTGAAAAACATAGCCTGCCAGGCACAGTGGCTCACGCCTATAATCCCAGCATTTTGGGAGGCCAAGGTGAGAGGATTGGCTGAAACCAGCCTGGGCAACTTGGTGAGACCTCATCTCTACAATAAATCAAAAAATTAGCAGGTGTGGTGGCGCATGCCTGTAGTTCCAGCTACTGGGAAGGCTGAAGCAGAAGCATCACCTGAGCCCAGCAGGTTGAGGCTGTGGTGGCCATGAGCATGCACTGCACTCTGGC